GCTGTCTGTAATCCAGAGGAAATAAGTCAAGATTGGTCAGTCGTGTCTCGTACGGTATGTGCTAGTTAGGCGGGTTCTTAGCAAATGAGCGTCGAGTTGGTATTTACGCTTCTCAACAGTACTCGAAAAGACTTCAAAAGGAAGTCCGTTGCATGCGCCGACGTCCTTCTGAGAGGCAATGTTTTGTATAGGAGCAACTTCTTTTTTTCTTCAGGTTAAAAGAACGATCGCACCGTCAACTCCAGCCAGTTCGGTGAAATCCACAAAATACGGGACGTATCCACGGCCTCTAACAATCCAGTACGTCTGGGTGAGGACACCACGCAGTTGCTTTTAGTCTGTAGGAAGCAAACTAAGATCAATTGGTCCGACTTTATTGAACAGCTCGCCAGAACTGTACAAGATAATTAAAGGTAGACCAAAATAATGCTCCACAGGCCTTGCTGAACAGTTACTGATCAAATAGTCTAAACAGTCGTCTCAATGTGAATAACATCTGTGATGCTCGTTTAGCTACCTTTAGAATACTGAGGCCTTTCTGTCTCTCAACATTTGAAACGGAATACCTATCCACAACGTATTGACAAGAGTCTTCTTACCAATGCACCTTATTGAATATAGTCGTCGGACCACGCACTTCGGAACGCTCTAATTTTTAAAAGTCTGCTCAGAGCCTCCGCGTCAGCATCAGTAGTTCCCCAGAGTATGGGATTGTCAGCAAATATGGCGTTCATGCAATCTAGACTTTCCACGCCATCGTTACTGTGGACTGGGAAAAGTAGCGGGCCGGGACTGAGTTCTGGAGGTCACTACTGTAAACCGAGCCAGGGATTCACTTTGAGGCATTAGCACACACACACAGTTCGTGATCTCCTTGACAAAAAACTACACATACATGTTGGCGGTGAACCCTACAGTCCAATTTCAGATATTTTGTGCACTGGATGCTTGCGTAGAACCCTCTCAAAGACGTGTACAAAATCAGTACAAAAGACTCCTGGTCTTCGGAAAATTAGAATTTT